ATTCCACTGTTACCAAATTACATCGTAGTGGCCTTAGTAAGCCTTTGAGCAGCATCGCCTTCTCCAGTGCCATTGCCAGATGTAGATGCGTCAACCACTGTAAGGCGCTTTGACATCTTCTCCTCCCATGCCACCTTAGGACCATCTAGAAGCGAGTCAATGACTGGTATAGAAAATAGCTGAGACATACATCATAGATAGCCTGAGGTACTCACATATACCAGCCACGGCCAGGTCAATAACCACAGGCACAAATTGGGCCAAACCTAATACCTGGCCCACACTCCACTTCAAATTCTTAAATGAGTCTCCCGCAACCGAGCCGTCGCTGAGTGTCAGGGACGTGAGAAGCCCGAGCAGCGACCACATTATCAGCTGCGCTGACAAAACCTGCAGTACTCTCAATTGGAAGCCCAGCGTCCGTTTAGGGCTCCCTCGGCTGTCGTCACGCCCAGCTTGAACCTTTCGGAGCATGCCCGATGCCATCGTAGACACTCTTCCTTGCTGTACAGGGCCCAATTTTGATAACATGGTGCAGGCCCAAAGCGCGAAGTTAAGTAGTAAATGTGCTTGCGCGGCGATGACGAAGCCAAGGTTTTGTTGGAACCGTCTTGGAAGATCTCGGGTGCAGATATTCCAGAGATACTGAATGCTTCCAGTTGCTGTCAGAGGAAGTTTGTACACGTTCAAAGATTTGTACCAGACGAAGAAAAGGACGCTCAAGGCAGCTGTGAAGAAAACCACTAAACACCATAAGAGAAGCCGGAGACCCTTCCTCCGCAACATGTCACCGCTTGTGGACTGCAGTATCAAGGGGGGAAAGACCGAGAAAAGGGCCACGATGATAGCGTTCCAGCGTGAAGGGGCGAAGGCGTTGTCCAGCTGATCTGGATCTCTGAAAGCTGAGATGAAGCGATACATTGCTGCGATGACGATCGCCATGGCGAAAATCAGGGATGCATCGAGAAAACCACTGATGGTCTCTCGAAACCAGTCCACGATTCTGACCAGACGCGAGCTTCTGGTGAACAACCCCAAGGTGTGTAGGCTCAATATGAGAGGATACACAGTCGACATCGTGGCGATAAGGTAATATGTAAACATCATCTGTGAGGGTCGTTTGAGAAGGAGAGTTTTAGCGGGTTCAAGGGACTAGACTTACACCTATTCCTGCCAAGTCAGGATCGCCCTCCACTTCAAGCTGGTCACAAATCTCACGAGTGCAAGCATATGCGAAACTCCAAGCTTGCCCGGTAATAGCATTTTCGGGGCTGGTCTCATTCAGCCAGCTCCAGGCCCAAATAAAAAGCGTTGCTTGAGTAGGAGGCGAGTCTGGCCAGTCTGCGGGCACAAGCGACCTCGCGAACGTGACAGTCGTGTTGACTGGTATATGGTCGAACCGCTGCTCTAAAGCAGCGGCCGCGACGTAGTTTCCAATGGCGGTACAGTCTGACCAGTTAAGCCTTTCAAAAAGGGGAGGCACCCATGAAGTACTCGGGCTCCAGTCCTGACCAGGCTTTAGGAACATGATAATGATTCCGTATAGATGTCGATGAAGACTTCAATGTGATGGCCGTGATTTCACTGCGCTACTTTTTTTGGTCACTGAAAGAAAATGACATAGAATTACCGTCAAGCGATGCTAGGTATCCTCCCCCAATTTAATGTCATTTCAAGGAATTCTGGCCCCCTTTGCCCCCTGGCGATTTCTGATTCATCGAACGCATTCAGTCAGACTCGACAACACATTATAGTCGTGTTAGACTGGCCCCAACAACCCCATCGTGCAAACCACCTGGTGGGGGCGAGACCATTCATTGGATGCCATGGAATTTTGAGTGTCTGAGCATGACCTTTCAAAGTACTTCGTGGGCAGTGTGGGGTCACAGTAGAAATGATGCGGTGACACTAGAGTCCCAAGCCTGCACATCGCTGCCATGATTGGTGCTTACTTATCGCTCAATCATACAGCTTATTTCAGAGGAATTGCTGACATTGATTTGCAGGTGTAAACTTCCAATTGTAAAAGCCGAAATTACTGGTTGGAAAAGAAAATTCAGAGGAATTCGCGGGGAGCAAATCTTGCCCCATGTGCAGAATCCAATAGGAAACCTGCTGATTTTCTGGAGATTCAAGTGGCCGATGCAAACCCTAGAAGTAGCCAACAATCCGCCAGACATCACCTTCAAGGCTGACGCTGAATAAACATTCCGAATCAAAGACCCTGGACAGGTAGTCCGCAGACGCATAACTACAGGGCCTCCCTCTCAAGCACCATCTGTTTGAATAGAGTCTTCTGTTTTTAAATGACTATATAATTCTGATGAGAATTTGATGTGGAATATCTACTCCAGCAGAACCTAGGCACTGTCAAATTAGAGATCAGAGATTCGCACCTGCAAAAACAGAGGGTACACCCTTACCAACTTAGAGCCTAAACTACCTAGGTACTCAGGTTAGTACTAAACTAACAATCTTATAGAATTCTCCTATAAGAGTCTATCCTATAGTATATTATCCTATAGGAGGTTGTCCTGTAGGAGGTTATCCTATAGGTGGTTGTCCTGTAGGAGGTTGTCCTATGGGTCTCGGGTGTACCCTCTGTTGTTGTGGATGCGAATCTCCGATCTCTTAAATTAAGCCTGACGTTCAAGCGTGCCAGGGTACAGCCGCGTGAAGTGTACAGATGCCAAGCCGTCACTCCCATGTCCCAATTTGTCTAGCATCTACTGTCTGCAGGAGATTTCTTGCATTCTGTTGCCATTCATCCTTTATGGACTGGGGGCACCATGCTTCGTGCAGAATTCTAGGCACCCAGGAAGAGCGCAACGAGTTGCGATTGATACTGAAATACTGTCCCTGAGACCAACATTGGATTATGATTTCTGTCGAGCCCTCTGAAACTTGTAGTTTCTCCTCCCAGTCCGACTGCCCAGTATGGAGAGTAATCGCATATCATACACTCAGTCAGAGATCTTCGACTCACGCATGTACCAATACGAAGGACCTCAGCCTCAGGTGGTTTCATTTTTAATCCCTATATATATAAAATATACATAGCGCCTTTATATAATAGTAAATACTTAAAACCTAACATTTAAAGAAATATAATACTAATAATAATAGAAAGAGAATATAATATATCTATAAGTATATAGCTAAACTTTATACTATATAGATAAAGCTAAAAAGTATTACTCTTAATAACATTATACTAAAATTATTAATATAAATAATCTAAAAGTTAATTTATTATAATAAACTAATAAAGTAGTTATATAATAAGATTAAAATAGTCTTAAAATAACTTTTATAAAAAAATTCTATAATATAAGACTTAATAAGTTAGTTCTTCCTTATTAATATACTTATTATATAACTACTTAAATCTACTCTTACTAAATAAACTAAATATATTATAGTCCTTATTCTAAATATATAGCTATTAATAGAATAATAATATTATAATAATAAATTTATTTAAGAAAACTTTTATATAAATTTTATAAAAATTAAAACTCTTTTAAAAATTAAATAAAATTTATTTATTATATATTAAATAAATACTATATAAGGAAAGTAAAAATCTAAGTATTTAAAAATTAAATCTTCCTTTTTTAAATATACTACTTTATTATTAAGAATTTATCTATTTCTATATAATATATAAGAAATATAATAGAAGAGAAAGCCTTATAAAGAAAGTTAGTAACTTTATTATATATAAATAAGTTTAAGAGTATATATTAAGTAATTATTAACTTTATATTTAAGATATAAGCTAATAATTAATCTAAAAGTTAAGAAGATAATAAATAGATAAATATATAGTTGAATAAAAAATATAATATAGTCGAAGCTAACCTTAGCCTCAACCTATATTCTCTAATGTACTGTAGTAAGCGGATCTGGAGAGAAATGAACCGGCTCGATCTTTTCTGATTACCTTCAAACTGCCGAACTAATTTGGCAGAAATATTACCTGCGGACCATATTCTGAGGTTTATCGGTCTATTGCGGCCACAGGGTCAGAATCCCGGCTCTACTTGTCTGCTTCTTCCTGAATATCAGGAGGATAGAGTCTGAGCCAACACTTCTAGATGTTGTGACGCACACTGGCCTGCCATATTTGTTTTGGTACTTCTCAGTATGTAACGAGATATTGCGGCCAGGGTCTATGAGTCTATCGGTTCTTCTTTATGGTTTTGAATCTGTTTTCAGCCAGGCCATTCTACTCATATTGTATCAACGTGTAGTCACGAAAATGCGGCTGGGCACCGCATTCGTATTCTCATGGTAGACTCTGTTATATCTGAGCAATAATTCCTCTCAGGTGAATTTCGCGCTGCTGATGACATTCAACAAAATTATCGTAACAAATTCGGAAACAATTTCCAACAGATTGAGTCGAAAGACCACACGTGTCCGGTGCTTGGTACCAACAGCTACATAGGTACCTAAGTAAATATGTCCGTCACGGAAGGCATTCAAACCATAGCTCACACTCCTAATTTTGTTGTCCAGGAATATTGCTGAAGGTTCACGCCACGGAGTATAGATGCTGATAGAAGGAAATTTGATTTATATATCCGCATCCGACTATACTCCTGAACATGTTTCAACCAAACCGCTACCATCCTACGTTTCGCAGGTATAACAGCCTCCAAAAAACAACCTTTACTAATATTGAACGACCACCACCTCATCAAGATTTCCAGAAATATTAGCGATGCAGAGACATCCATGGATATTGCGTTGTGAGGCATCATCCGCTGGAGATTACAAGCGGTGTCCTGCGATGAATATAGCTTGCGTTGCCTGTGTTTTTGATTACGGCGAAAACAGATTCCTCCACCCTCAGCGCACGTCATGACCGTCCGACTTGTGGTGCACCCTAGAAATGAGTTGTGGGGTTACTTGCGGCAGAATTGCTTGGCATCCCTGGTCGAGGCTTATGTACTTAGGGGTGGGTCGTTGGAATCAACACCACCGGGCCGGCCCTTGGCGCTCTTCTTTTCCACCCCTGCATCCGACACCAGTAGGATTCAACGCAACCCAAAGGGGAAGTTTTACCGACTGCGTTGGGGCCGAGGCGCGTTTGCGAGGCAGGTATGAGTCTTCTTCACAGACACTACTTCAAAGTCATTGCTGGGAGACATCTCAATGGTGGAGAGGACAGCGGCTCACGCGACGACAGCTTACCAGACGACAGCTATGGCCACCGGAGCGACTGTACTCCCCGAGAGGACCACCCTCGGAGGCTCGCTCGAGATTCCTCGACTTATCAATGGCCTGTGGCAGCTCACTGGGGGCCACAACAAAAATGTCGACATTGCGAACGCCCCGGCGGCTATGGACGCGTTGTGAGTGATAGGAAGCCGAGGTCAAAGAATGACTTGACCTGACGGTTGTATAGTATTAGGAATGGACTTGAGGTATTCGATATGGCTGACCACTACGGGGATTCCGGTGAGAATGCTCTGCTTGCTTCTTAGAGATAGTACACCGGGATGAAGACAAAGACTACCTTAGCAATCAGCTCCGTCCTTTATTGGCGGCACCCGCCTTCTTTTCTTTGTGTTGAAAATCATAGATATAAATTAAGCAGCTGGAACAGTTGAGCGGTGAAATTTCTACATCCTAGCTGTTCGTCATCCGCCTCCTGTCGGCAAAGAAAATACCCACCCAAACTGCAACTCGGAGTGTTAACTATTGCAACATGGCCGGGATGTCTTATGCAGGCCCGGAGTGGGAATACCTTGCTCCACACACCAGCCGTCACGGTCCGCCAACCGACTTGGACTCACTGTTCGTCAATATCATCATCGAACGAAAAGTTCCCAAATCGAGCACGGAAAAACAAGTCCTCAACCTCCAAAGCCTCATCACCAAGAATGATCAGGTGTACCGTCCTAACGACGTGACTCGATTCAGCTTTCCCAGGTTTCGAGAGCTGACACGGACTTGGGACCTCGATCTCTTCTTCTACGAGGGTGTCACAAAACACGGTGTGGCCATACCAGACGAGCAGGCATTCCAAAGACTTCTCTTGGCCGTCCGCCATCTCGGACTCGGTGCCCCACTATCACCTTCTGCTCCACCTGTAATGAAGTTCTTTGCGCGGCCCCCGCCCCCGCCTGAGATGAGTCGTTTGTTGCTTGCGCTCTATTCTTTTTCGTGTATAATTCTCATTGGCTTTATCTGGGCTTTGGCCTCCAACTTCGGGGCTGGGGCTGTCGTTGTACTTTTCCTGGTTATCTATGGTCTCGTCGAGGAACGGTCTAAGGCTATAAAGAGGGGCGCAAGAATGTGGTGACTTCTCGGTGCGCAAGGACTAAACTAGAAAGATAGAGCAGATATTATATTATAGTCATTTCATTTAATAATGTACCTTATATTCTATAAATAATGTTAAAATAATACCTCTTAGCTTTATAAATATATTAAAAAGTTAAAGTTATATATACTTTATTTATTTAAAATAATAATTATTATATTAAAGTATTATATATATTTTTATATATAAAATAATAATTAAATTAATATATTTAAAATTAATTTAATATATTATTTTATTTATTATATATATATATATATATATTATATTAAATAAATAGAATAAATAAAATAAATAAAATAAATAGAATAAATAAAATAAATAAAATAAATAAAATAAATAAAATAAATAAAATAAATAAAATAAATAAAATAAATAAAATAAATAAAATAAATAAAATAAATAAAATAAATAAAATAAATAAAATAAATAAAATAAATAAAATAAATAAAATAAATAAAATAAATAAAATAAATAAAATAAATAAAATAAATAAAATAAATAAAATAAATAAAATAAATAAAATAAATAAAATAAATAAAATAAATAAAATAAATAAAATAAATAAAATAAATAAAATAAAAATAAATTATTATATGAAAATAAATATTATAGAAAATAAAAATATTTAAAATAAATTATAATATAAATTAAATTATTTATATTTTTGTAATTTTATTATTAAATTTATAATGAATAATTAAAGGTTTTAAAAATTATATTATAATATATCTTTTAAACTTAATTAAGTTAGTTAAATTAAATTTATAATATAATATATTATTAATATAATATCTTTTATATTAATATATTACGTTTTATTAATTTTAATAAATATTATTAATATTAATATAAGTTAATATATTAAAAATTAAAATTATTATAAATTTTAAGTTAATAAAATATAAATAAATATTAAATAAAAATATTAAATTTATTATATAACTTAAATTATATAAAAGTATAAATTATTTAAAATAAATAAATATAAAGTTATTATTCCTTTAATTAAAGTTTTTATTTTATAAATAAAGTACTCATATTTTATTATTTAAGTTTAAAATATTAATAATTAATAAATAAAATAAAAATAACTCTTAATAATTAAATTTAATAATTATATAAATTAAATAATTAAATTAAAGATATAATTTATAAAAATTAAAAGTTATATTTATAAATTTTATTAAAATTAAAAATTAAATATTTATATTAAAAATAAAAATATATTTAAATTTTAAAAATAAACGTTTATAATATAAAATTTTATAAAATAATCTTTAATAAAATAATATTTTATAAAATAATCTTTTATAAAATAACTTTTATAAAATAATCTTTATTAAAAATGTTTTGAAAATATTACTTTAAAAATAATTAATAAAGTAATTAATTTATTATTAATTTAAACTTTTATTTAAATAATCTTTAAATTATTTAATATAAATATATAATTTTTAAATTTAATTTTATTAAATATTAAAGAATTAATTAAATTTTTAAAAGTTATAAATAAATTAAAAGTTAAATTATATTATAATATATAAAAATAATTAATAAAATATTTATAAAACTATAATTATAAAATTAATCTTTATATATTTAACTTTAATATCTATTTATTTAATAATTTTTATAAACTTATTTAATATTTATTTTTCTTAATAACCTCTTTATATTTATAAATACTTTTAAATTAATATTAAAAATTTATAATATAATTTCCTTCTTTAATTCTTAAAACTTTAAATATAAACTCTTTTAAATCTTTTAATACTCTTTTAATATACTTTTAATATTCTTTTAATACTTCTTTAATACTTATTTTAATATTATTTCTAAGCTTTCTAAACTATATATATTTATATATTAATTAAATCTTTAAATATTAATTAAATATTAAAAAGTTAGAAGTTTAAAATATTAAAAGATTAAAAAAAGTATTAAAAAGTTAGAAAGAGAGCTAGTATTTATATATTTAATAAGTTAATTTATATACTTAATATTTTCTTTCTATATACCTAGTACCTATTTTTTATATATAGAGCTTATAGAAAACTATATACCTAACTAAGATTCTTTAAATCTTTAGTACTTAAGGTATAAGCCCCTTCTAGCACCCTTTCGCCTTTACCTTTTAGTAGCCCTTTTAGCACACCTTCTAGCAGCCCTTCTAGCACGCCTTCTAGCAGCCCCTCTAGCACACCTTCTAGCAGCCCTTCTAGCACACCTTCTAGCAGCTCTCCTAGTACACCTTCTAACTTATACACTTTTAAGTATATTTAAATATTAATTAAACATTTATTTAACCTTCTAATATTTAGTTAGTATTTAAATTCTTAGTTAGTATTTAAATATCCTTAAAGGTATATAAGTTAGAAAGTATATTAAAAGAGTTATTAAAAAATAAAGATAAAAGAGTGTTAGAAGAAGCTTATACTTCAAGTATTAAAAATTAAAGAAAAAGATTATATTATAAAGTTTCTTAGTATTAACTTAAAAAGTACTTATAAATATAAAGGAGTTATTAAAAAAAGTAAGTATTAAGTAAGTAAAAAAAATATTAAGTGTGTAAACTAACTTATTAAGTGTGTAGATACTAGGTTTTATAAAGAATATAGTTTTTATTTTAACTTTTTTTATTTTTAATTTTTAATATTTAATTAATATTTAAATATTTAGTTAATATTTAAATATATATAGTTTAAAAGGTATATTAAAAGTTATATTAAAAGGTATATTAAAAATATATTAAAAGAAGTATTAAAAGTATATTAAAAGTATTAAAAGTTTAAAAAGTTTATATTTAAAGTATTAAACATTTAAAGAATTTTAATTAAATATATAGTTTTATATAAACTTTATATATAAAAGTTAGTATAAAATAAGTTTATAAAAATTATAAAATAAATAAATATTAAAGTTAAATAAATAAATATTAATTTTAAATATAAATCTTTTAATTTATATTTTAAAAAAATTAAAATATATAAAGTATAATATATAAATAATACAAAATTAATATTTATTAATATAATATTCATAAATTATAATATAAAAACTTTTAAAATTTAAAATTTATTTTATTTTATTATTATTTAATTAATATTTATTATAAATAAAAATAATAATAATAAATATTAATATAATAACTTTAATATTAATAAAATAAATAGCTTTAATTATTAAGATATTAAGATATATGTAAATGTATATATACTTAAAAAGAAGTGCTTTAATTAAATAAGTAAAATAAAAAACAATGGTCCCGGAGAGGATCGAACTCGCGACCTTGGCATCACTATTTAATTCTGTCATTACAGAATTATTAGTACCACGCTCTAACCAGCTGAGCTACGGGACCAATGGTTGAAGAAATGGCATAAAAATGGGGTATATGGTGTTGATGTGAGTTAAAATTTTTCACGAGTGGGCCGGAAATTGGTGGGTGGACCGCGGGTGTAGACTAACTAACGCGGAGTTGCCGCCGGGTGGTCTGTGCGCTGCCGGGTTATTAATCTATATTCTAGTTATATAATCACGTTTTATAAGTAGTAAACTAACCTTTTATAGAGCACCTTATAATAGTAGATAAAAGGAATTAATAATTTATTTACTTATATTTTTAAAGGTTAGAATTCTAGAAATATTTAATATTTTAATATATAGAGATAAGTAAAAATATATATAGTTAAAGTTAAGAACTTTAAAAATAAATAGAGTTATTATATAAATAGAATAACTTATTATAAATAATAATTATATAGTATTTTATATATTAAAGTTTTTTATTTATTATATTTATTTAAATAGTTAAAGATATTATTATTTTTAATTATATTAAAACTTATTAAAATTTTATATTATTTATATTAATAAATTAAAGTTCTTTTATTTTTAATATTTAATATTTAATATTTAAAATATAATAAAAATATTTTATATAAATAAAATATTTAAATTATAAATTTTATAATTAAAATAATAAAAGAAAAGTATAAAAATATTTAAAACTTTTAAATTAATATTTATATATTAAAATAAAATATTAATATTTTTAATAATTATATTACTAAGTTATATATATAAGTATTTTTATATTTATTTATATTATAATAAGTTTTATAATACTTTTATTTAATACTATTTATGAAATTAAATTATATTATTTTATAAAATATTTATTTTATTTATATATAATATATATAATTATATTAAAATATTTATTATTTATTTTTATATTAATAAATAATAAAATAAAATAAATAAAATAAAAATTATTATTAATTTTATATATACTACTATAATAATTATAACTACTTTTAAACCTATTAATCTTCTTAAAAAGTATTAGTTATATAGTCTTATATACCTAGTTACCCTCCACTATTACTATAAGATAACAAACAATTAGAACTAGGACAACTGTCTCATGTCTGTCTCAACCACCATGCAGTCTAGAGGCGGCACCTCACATGTGGTGGCCACTCCAACTAGAGTACAAGAAGTTCTCTAGTCCATAGATTAGTATACTTAGTGGTTTTCTTTCCAATTAACACCGATACAAGTGTATGTGGCGCTCATACACGACCTAGGGAAAGCTCAAGACCGGCGGTTTGAAAAACATATACTGCTGATCACAGTACAGAGAGATCACAGTCCGTCTGTGGGCACGTGGCCTCAGCCTCGTACCGCACAGACAAGGCTAAGAGGCATCGCTCCCGACGGGGCCAATGATCGTGGACTCAAGTTGCCTAAGGTCTCATGGCCAGCTGGTATAATTAATTCACTTTTGGAGTGCCCACGGATTCTCGAGAGCGTGAAAATCTCGTCGAGCGGGACGGGACCAGCCCAACTGGTAAAGATTGAATTGATATATGTTAGGGACGAGAAAGTCCTCGTACTGGTCGCTAAGAGTTTGCTCCGTAAAAACACCCCCTCGTAACCCCAGACACTCGTTCCCGGCACCACAGCCGCTGGAATGGCCCAGCGACGGACTACCTAGGTACTGGTCTAAGGATTCAAGTGCAGGATTGGGGCAACAATTAAACTCTTCTTATGACCGCCAAATGGTAATTGAATCTCGTAAAATATAAACCAGTTCTGATGATGGGGTCATACAACCACAAGGGGATGTTGTAGCTAGTGAGCGTCCTCTAGTTCTCAGGTCACACAGCTTCAGCACCTGCCAAGTCCTCCGCGACAGCGGCGTCTACCACGTGAAAATTGGCATCTCCTTTGCATGAAGCCGAGTACACAATATAAAATCCTGCAACCAGCCACCTCAAGAGCTATTCGAAACAAACACCGAAAGTATGGCCGCGTATGCCGCAGACACCGCCAGCGTCTCCAGGTTCGACGCCCTCACCAGCGTGGCAACCACCAGCGAGAACAGCAGGATGAACCCAGCCACCACCGCCAGCTGCAGGGTGGAGGCCGTCCGGGGGCCGAGTATCACCAGCGGGACGACCAGGAACACGCCCGCCACGAGGGTGCTGACCAGGCGCCCGAGGAGGTTGGCCAGGGCGGCGGAGTTCTGGCTCGACACCGGCGGGGCGCGCGGGCTGCTGTCTGCCTTGCCGAGCTCACAGCCCGGCGGGCCCCGCCTGCGCAGCCTCCAGTACTGGAGGTCGCGCAGCAGCCTGTGTAGCCAGTGCGACAGGGGGTCGACCCGGGACCGGGGCGGCAGGTCGGGCCTCAGGAGCCTCGTCTCGTACATCTCCGGCACCGTGAGGTCTGTGCGTGCCCTGGCTGCCTTCTCGTCGTCTAGTAGCGAGCATCGTTCCATTGACATGATGGTGTTGAAGGCTATTATGGCGTCGTCTGCGTGGGCCGTGTGGGATCGTGTGAGTGGTTGTTCCGCTCAAGGGGGGGGGGAGGCTGCATGGGATCAAGCACGAACCATACTGCTTAAGGAGTTCCCGGAGCCGAAGCACCAACTGTTCTGTTATGGTCGCATCTATGGGGGCAACATTTGCATCCCTGATACAGTAGTTAAGCCCAAGCTTATTCAAGGGTGCGTGATCGTTGCCCAGTGTGAGCCCAGCCTGATAAATGGCATGGTCAAGCTCAGCGATCTCGTCTTCTAGGAAGCGGAGGTTCAGGAGGTGGGACGTTTTGAAACGCCGGAGCCCGAATAAGGTGAGGTTATTGTCAGCTGTTGCCGCCTGCCAGTTCTTCCTGAACAGCCGGGCATAGGTCCCCGGGTCACGTTTGATAGTAGTGTCTGCGTGCGGCGGTTGAGGTGCAGGACCGGCTGTTGACATGGTGGAAAGTATTCAATAGTTGAGGTAGCTACCCAGGTATTTGGAAAGCGACTCGGGATCAGGCAAGGGAGATCATGTTCTTATGATCCCGACTTCAGACCGCGCAAATCGAGACTGGGCAAAAATTTGGGTTTGCTTGAGCGTGGCAGGGCAGCTGAGGAGGCACACGTACCTACCTAGGCACCTGGCGTAGCCGTCTTCGGTGAACAGCGGGGGGCTGTCTGCGCCCAACTTGGCTGCGTGGATCAGCAGTGACAGCAAAGAACCAACCAAAGAAAGTCTCATCTGCATTAGGCTACATTGAGAAATACTATGGACGATTGGTAAATTATTCGCTGATTTTCCCTGCTTTTGTCCCCGGTTGGGGTGGCGGTGCTTATCACGGGGCGGGGAAATTGGGGCGGTATGGCACCTTATTGATTGAAGTGGTTTAATATACGGAGTAAGCAGCATGTTGTGCGACCACACTTATACCGACTCATAACACCCTCTACGTTCTCGGGATAAGCAGGGTCTGGGAGGCCCCCCCGCAGGACAATGGCAGCAAGTCGGCAAGAGCCTTATTTCTACCTAGGTCCGCAGACGCCCAACCTGACAATCCAGTGACCATTGTCTCGTCCTTTCCCCCGTGGACCGCTTGTCCTCGGTTGCCCATCTTCAATCCTGCTGAAATTCGTTACGTTCGCTGGCTGCTTTCCGCGTTGGGCTTCCTCTCTGCCAAAGAAGAAAGTCGCGTCTGAGAGGCGATGGCGCCGGCTCGACTGAGGAAACTAGAACCAACCAGTTACCATGTCGCATGGATATGCGCAGTGGCAGATCTCGAACTAATCCCGGCGCTGCTGATGCTAGACGAGTCCCACGAGCGCCCCGACATCGACACACAATATGACGACAACTCCTACGAGTTCGGGACCATGGGGGGGCATAACGTTGTCGTGGCGACCTGCCCGGATGCCATGACTGGGCAGGTAAACGTTAGCCACATCGTAGGGCCTCTCTTCAGGACATTTACCGCGATCAAGATGACGCTCCTCGTTGGTATAGGTGGTGGCGTTCCCCAGAAGCACCTCTTCTCCGATCCACTCAGGGATGTCCGCTTGGGTGATGTCGTTGTCGGGTGGCCTAGTCATGCCGATGGGAAACCCGCTGTTGTCTATTACGACTCAGGGAGGTCGTTGGTCGATCAGTTCCAGACAACCACAAACCTTAACCGGCCGCATATGGTTCTGCTGAAAGCGCTCCCTTTCCTCAGGACCCGCCATACACTTGGAAAGTTGAACTTCCACACATACCTGGCCAGACTCCAACAGCATGAGGAGCTTGGTAGCCAATACAGGCATCCCGGCCTTGAACATGACGTCCTATTTGAGTCTGCCTACAAGCATGTCGGAGGCTATAACTCCTACTGTGTTGGGTGTGACAAGGCAAACCTTGTCGAGCGAGAACCTCGCACGGAGAGCCAAAAAGACAAGTTCGTTTTTCACCAGGGAAGGATCGCAACGGGGAATGCAGTCATCCAGGATGGAATCAAGAGGGACGCAATCAATGATCAACATCAGGATGTTTTTTGCATCGAGATGGAAGCCGCAGGCGTTGACATCAACAGCAGCTGCCTTGTGATCCGCGGCATCTCTGACTATGCCGACTCCCACAAGAATGACCGCTGGAGGGCGTACGCCGCTGGAAAAGCGGTCGTGTTTGCTAGGGAGCTTCTGGGAAACATTCCAGCTAGTGATGTTTCAGAGAAGATGGCTTCAGGTCAGTTGGCATCCTATTACGCCGAGCCGGAGGTGGAAGAGGTGGAGGGAACGAGCAGACTGGATGGACAGCTGTCCCAGAAACTCCTAGGGGGCCACGTTAGTGACGGGGTACCAGGTCTGGGTCGAGACGATCACGACCATATGCCTGGTTCATATCCAATGGAGGAGGTTTGACTGGTCGTGGATGAAAAATAGAGAGATCGAAACGATCTTTCGTCTTGTTCTCCAAACGGACGGTGGGCATTAGTCTCTCAGGGGTCTAGGGCGTCATGGCATCATGAATCAATGAGAATCCTTTTTTCAGTCTTGTCCACTAACTGAACCTTCATTTCTTGGCATAGTAAACAAACACTGGCTTGTGAACCGCCCCACGAATCCAAATTTCACCGGTCGACGTGGGATCATCGACAGAATTATCGAAGGCCTAACATCCGAGGAAGCGGTAAATGAACAGCGAAGGTTCGTCCTGACCGGTATGGGTGGTCAGGGAAAGAGTGAGATATGCCTCCGCGTGGCAAATGAAATTCGAGAGAGGTGAGTTTCTAGCGAGATCATTTACTCATATATCTCGGAGCTAAGCAAGGTGAATAACCCAGATTTTGGGGCATTTTCTGGGTGGACGTCAGTACTCAGACCATAACCGAGCAGCACTTCTCCGAAATCGCAGACGCCCTTCAGTCCCCTGATAAAAGTGTTGACGCAGTCCGAAAGACACTTTCCAGCCTCCCAACGACTAAAAGATGGGCCCTGATACTGGATAATGCAGACGATCCAGACAGAGACTACGAATTATACATGCCAGCAGGAGGTCGCGGAGCAGTCCTTATAACATCTAGAAACCCAGCATGTGGGGACCTGACGACTCACCAAGGCCATGAGAAACTGGATAGCTTGGAGGAACCAGAATGTGTGCAACTCCTTGAGAAGGTCGCACGATCATCCAAGGACACGAGCGAAATTCAAGATCCCGAACCCGCCGTCTCACTCGTGCGAGAACTCGGACATCACACACTCGCCATTTTACATGCTGGATCTTATATGAACGCCGCTCGGTGCAACGCGGCAGAGTACCTGGACTTGCTTCGCACGAATCGCCGGCGGCTACTCGACAAGCCCCGCGCGCAGGGAAAGCCACGATACGACACGGTATATGCCACCTTCGAAGCATCAATGGAGTTTCTCGAACGGCCAGAGACAGGCCCGGATGAAGAGACCCGCAGGGACTCGCTCGAGCTGCTTGAAGTTCTATCAACGTTCCACCACGAAAGCGTACCTCTTGACGTCCTCTTGGATGTGTGGGCAGGGGTCCAAGAGGCACTCGAAACCCCCAGCCAGTGGGAGATGGACACAGAGTATCTCACAGCCTGGCATGTGGCACAAGTACCTGACCTCGTCAAGGCCGAGGAGGCCGACGTCAAATTCCGCATCACCGAGGCAGTGGCACGGCTCGAGTCGCTCGCACTGGTGAGAACAGACCGGGCCGTCCGCGTGTGGAAATCCGTGTCGATGCACCCGCTTGTGCACGGGTGGTTGGGTGACCGGCAGAGTCTGCAGGAGAGAAAAGCAGCGTGGAGAATGACTGAATGCATTGTTGCGTTGCCAGAGTTTGCGTTGGGTGATTGGCGTCCTTATCACCCACCACTCGCGCCCCACTTGCAGCGGCTTCTTGAATCGGACGTGGAATTGGTGGGCGACGCGGCGGAATCCAGATGCATGCTGCAACCATGCGTGAAAATCGCGTGGGTTTTGCACAGGATGGGCCTTGACGGTGATATGTACGAGTTCACCGACAGGATCATGCAGCGATCGGGCCGTGACAACCAGAAACCGACACAGGAACTCCGGGGACTTTACAGAGCCTTCGCAGAGGCCGTCGCGGGGGAGGGAAGCCGGCCGGCGCAGGCGGTCCAGGCGTTTGAAGCACTAGTGCTCCTGGATAAGGAGACACGTAGTGAAGATGACCCGGGGCGGCTTTGGAACCTGCGCAGCTTGGGAAATGCATACAGAAGCAACGGACAGACAAAAGAGGCAGTCGCGTTGTTGAAGAAGGTGGTCAAAGCGCTCGAAGGGAGAGGGGAAGAAGATGTCGAACTGACCAAGGCGCAACATGACCTTGGGCTGGCTTTTTCGCAGGATGGCCAGCATAAGGAGGCCATCGCGGTGCTTGAAAAAGTGGTCGGGATTCAACAGAGAACACTCCCAGCAGGCCACAGGGATCGACTTGCATCACAGCATGTGCTCGCTGTCGCATACCTCAAAGACGGGCAGATTAAAGAAGCCACGGCCCGACTGGAGGAGATACAAAAGATACAAGCACGGACCCTCGGGGAGGACCACCCCGAAACAGCATCAACGCAGGCCTGGCTTGCAGATGCATATAAGCTGGCAGGCAGGCTACCAGACGCTATAGAGCTGTGCGAGCGGGTCGTCAGGACACGAAGACTGTTCCTCGACGAGAAACACCCTGACCTGCTGACTTCACAGTACGATCTCGCTCTGGCATATCACGAAGCTGAGAGGATTACCGAAGCCATTGCAATACTCGAGCATGTGGTTCAGGTGGAGAGCTTGTTGCATGAACAGAGCCACCCTTCCCTACTGACATCACAGCACAATCTCGCCCGAGCATATCACGAAGCTGAGAGGGTTACCGAAGCTATAGAGCTGTGCGAGCGGGTCGTCGGGACACGAAAACTGTTCCTCGACGAGAAACACCCTGACCTGCTAGTGTCACAACACAATCTCGCTGGAGCATATCTGAAAACTAAGAGGATTACTGAAGCTATTGAAATACTCGAGCACGTGGTTCAGGTGGAGAGCCTATTGTATGAACAGGGCCACCCAGAAAGAGTCGCATCGCAGGAGTTGCTGCAAGATGCACGTGCCGCGCGCGACGGCTCTCTTCCAGGCTCTACACGTACATCTTCAGAGTCAGACCACGCTCAGTCGGATCCAGCTCCACGCCCCGCAGGAGCAACAACGCAGGCCGCAGTCGACGATGGGCCTGGTCTTTTGGCACGGGGGCAACCGGCTGAGACACAAAGAGGTAGCATCATGGGTGCCGCCTGGCACAGATCAGTGAAAGCTCAGGGATCCGGACAGTCACTGAGACTCAGGGCGAGACTCTCCACGGCATTGTCAAAATGGTCCCCCACTGGACTAAAAAAGAGTAAATAGTCTAAGAGCAACTATTAACTAGCTAAGGATAACCAGAAATACTATAAGTAAGCTCATAAGACCCTACTAAGTAATAGCTAATCCTATTATTAAAATAATTTAATTAAACTTAATATTTATAATATTTAAAATTTTTATATTAATAATATATTTAATATATAATAATTAGAATAATATTAAGTAAACTTTATTTATTAATATATATAAATTAATTAAAGTTTTTAAATAATATTTTATTATTTTAATAATTAATTATTAAATATTAATTATTTTTAATATTATTATTATTTTTATTTTTTTATATATTAAAATATAGAATATAATTATTTAATTATTAAGTTACACTTAATTTAATTTAATAATTATTTACAAATAATAAATATAAATATTTACTTATTAAATAAAATTAAAACTTTAATTAAAGTAAGAATAGCATTACTTACATTCAAATAAGATCACATGATTACCTTGTTTACAGAGAGCCCGGTCTATAATTATCCTTACATTTAATCCTCCTTATGTGCTATCTCCGAAATCAACTTCCGTTTTCCCATACTTCAAGTATGCTTCTACAGCATCTTCCGTCTTAAAGTCCAGCCTTCAGCCCGGCGCCGGCTGAAATGATGAGCTCGCCTGGGAGCCCAGCATCGATCTCATGAGCTCTTCATCCTGACCCTCATACCATACTCCTTCATGGAATTCAAGACCATCCTGCCCATAGTCGAGAAACTCATTCAGGGTTCCAGTAAAGAGGTTTTGATCTGACGAATTCTCTTGAACAGCCTCGCTGCCAGCAAGTATGTTGGTCGATCCTCGGCCGAGAAGGGTGGATCTCATGCCCGGAGTTGGGGCCCCGGACCGGTTATCTGAATTTTGGCCTGTTCTTTCATTCGAAATGGATGAAGATGGAGGAGTAAGTTCACCAGCAATTCCTGAGCTTGAGTGGATGTTTGCATCGTCATTGCTGCTGGCACTGGTGCTGCGCGCCACCCACTGATCGAAAATGGTGCGTAGTCCTTCTTCAAAGACAGTCTGCTGGAGGGCAGCGAGGTCTCGCTCCTCATTAGGGAGATTCCATGTAACAACACCTTGTTGGGTCAAAATATTTGACAGGATTCGTGGCCCGTTACTTGTCAAGAAGTCTTGATAGAGTGTGATATCCTGTAAAAGCTCATTATCGATATAAGGCGATTCGGGGTGATCGTGTCCTGGGAACAGAATGTCAAATACAGCGAACCACTGGGCCTCGGGGGAGGCATTTGACGCGGACTTCTTCTCCAGCTTCTCTCTTTGTGAATCAGTGATCCCGTCCAGTGTATGTGATGAAGGAGAGCATGAGGAACATGATAATTGTCGAATGTGCTGGTCACGTTCCATTTCGGTTTGGAATGTGCCCATACACAGAGGGCAGTATGGCGGATTGCGGTGACAGCGAGCTAGATGTTGCTTCACATCACGGATTCTGCTCAGCATGTACCTATAGCAGTCCCTATATAATATAGGATCCTTCTTAGTATACGGGCAGGCAAAGGTTAACTTTCGGTAAGAGGTTCGCCTGCGTTTGCTGGAGGTGATCTGGCTTGACGAGGGTTCACTCCCGTCAGTAACCGCTCTGTTGATTTGCGATTGGTTCGCCCGTGTTCTTTTTCCTGTTGCTGTATCCTTCCCCTTGCCCTTCTCTTGATTCCGCGCATTATTGGCTTCGCCTGCACCATCGGACGGGGGACCCTGTTCAATAGGGCTTTCTTTTGATGAAAGGAACATTTCCAACGCTGTTGCGACAGCCACAGCTTTGAAGCGCATGAATGGGTGGTCTTTGCCCAGTCTTTCTTCCTCGTCTTCAGAAACCTCAGCTAACCACAAAGAAGTCGATTCCGGAGTCGAGCTGGCTGTGAGACGGCTTGAAAATCCGTCGGTCGAATGCTGGTTCGCCTGAGGTGATACAAGTCGACAGGAAGGAGACCTCGTTGCAGGTTTCTCAGTTCCAGACTCAGTTCGGCGGAGTTGAAGTCTAGCAGTATTCATGAGGGATGCTTCAGGCTTTCCATCGTAACAGCCTGTGGTGTCTCTGTTAACGTAGTCCTGTCATACCAACTACATGATGTACTGGCCTGACTCACTCGTTTCAACCAAGTTCGATTTGGAAATGCGAGCCTTGTCAACGCCACTACTGGAGTTAAGCGGTACCCTGGGAAATCCTTTCTCGTGATAACTATACTCCACGGGATTCAAGCGACAATGTTCTTGTGTAGTCTCGGTAATGTCATCTCTATATCCTAAACTCTGGTAGCCGGAGTCCTGGTTCGATAGTTCAAAGTCGTCACTTGCTTGCACAGGAACCGGTAATTCGGCCACAAAGGCACCCGATAAACTTTGACGTGAGTTTGTCTTCGTCGCCTCTTGCGTCGTCGCCTCAGTTAGAGTCCTACCAGGTGCATAGGGATCAGGTGTAACGGGCAGTCCATTTAGACCCACCAGCTTTCGTGGAGCTTCCATTGTGTTGTTGATAGAAAATTCGGATTTCAGAGCTTTGTTGTCCGGGTTGCGAGATTGCAATTTTGGCGGATAGAGCAAGTCGAAGCGTTCAGGGTGCTTCCTACGAACATGGGCTTTGAGGTTGTCGAGCCTGTTCCTGATTGACTGCGCGCAGATCGGACACCGATATTCATGGCTCTGGTGATTGCGCTTGAAATGCTTCCCTACCGCTTGCTTCAACTTTGTGTAAGACCTATTGGATTCCGCGTGCGGGCTCCAACTGCACTCTGAACACGCCGGCAGCATCAGTTCGTCGCTGGCAGGTGGCTTCGGCGCCTTGCTCCGCAGCGACGAGCTTTCCACGATTGTTTGATTATCCATGCTTCTCGAGTATTCCATGATTGTGGTCCCAGTTATCGGCGAGGATATGGCGGCCATGGGAACGGCGCTGCTCCTAAAGTGTGTAATCAGTCACATTCAGAGCTGGGTTCTTCTGACCCAGGCTTCCGGATCGTCCCGTTCTTGGGGATTTTTGGCTCGTGTACAGGTCTTCAGCTCAGCTGAATTGAGAATTAGCCGAGTATGGTGGGTGGCGCAACAAGCTAGCTGGGAGAGCTTGACCCTGCAACGTGGCTTGCAAGACCTATTTCGTGAAGATAGACATCAAGATGAATATAAATTACAAAGGCAAGTTTAGACAGCACATACTCAACCCTCAGTGGCATAGAGCCCAAGATTGCGCAGGTAGCAAGCCCCAGGACTCTCGGTCGTGCTGACGGGCTGTGTCCTGGTGTAGCAAAAGCACAGTTGTGCTCAGAAGTGTTTCGAACCCCGAGCTGCAGCTAAATAACCGAGCGAATAGGAGGCGTCCGTCAGGATATCACCCAGTTGAAAGCACCATAGTGCTCTCTTTCGTCGTTCTACAGGACCAACTGTCGATTCTGCGACTAAACAGTTAAATCGCAGACAGGTTTGGAGCCAGTTGTGACCAGCACCATGAATGGCGAAGCGAAGGCTTGCACATAAGTAGCGGGTATGTGTATATAATGAAACCGCTGGCCAAAGTGAGCGTGAATGTATTTAGACGACGGCTACAAGCCCAATACCGAGGTATTCAAGAACGAATCGCCAAACTTTTGTGCAAGGTGCAAGATTGCGAGCCGAAGAATTTCTCAGACTGTCCAGAATTCATGATGTCTCAGAGATCCGGTCAAATTAGCGGAGGCACGCCGTAAGCTCATTATTGAAGCCACTGGCGCGTGTGTCTGACAATAACTCTCCTTAAGTAGTCATGGCACATCTATACCGTCACAAGCCTTCACGTTATACCTATCAGTTTCACCAACAATTACTGGGAGAATCTCGAACAATATGCCAGACAAGGACAGGAAGAAGAGGTTGGTAGAGCAGATCGCGAGCCTGGATGTCAAGATGAAGGGCAAGGGCTCTGGGAACAGCTGAAAGAAGAATCGATGTAAAGTGCCACGGTCTAAGTTCGGAAGCAGCCATAAAGGGGCTCCATGCACTGGCGGCATTATAATATTGCGCGTCTTTACTTTATAGAATGGTTTAAGTTTCTTCCTTAAGCATAACTAATTCCTAAATTAAGTAAAAAGTAAAATATTATGTTATAAATATATAAAAGAAAGTATATAATTAAAGTTTTTTTAATATTATTTATTTAAATATTAAAATTATAATAATAAGTTTATTAATAAAAATATAATTTTATTTATATTATAAAATAAAATAATTATATTTTTAAAATTAATTTTTAATTAAAATTATTTTTATAAAATTTTTATTTTATTAATTTATATTATTATATAAATATATATTTTTAATTATTTATAAAAATAATTATTTAATCTTTTATATTTTTAATATTATATATTTTAAAATATTAAAATATATTATAATTTATTTAAAAATAATAAAATATATAAATATTATTTTTAAATATAAAATTAAAAGTTTATAATTATAATTTTTAATTAATTTTTATTTAATTATTTTATTATATTATAATTTAATTTAATTTTATTTAAATTTTTAAATTTTATAAAATTATTATAATTATAAATATAAACTTTAAATTAAAACCTTTAAGTTTAAATTTAAATTTTATAAATTTTATATATTTTAAATTAAATTTATAATTTTTAATTTTTAAAAATATATTAACTATTTTAAATATTAATAATTTTTAAAATAAAGGTTTATTTTATATAATTATAAATTTAATTATTAATAATTATTCTTTTATTTATAATAAAATTATTAAAATTATAAATTTAAATAATAAAATATAATTATTTTATTTAATTATTTTTAATTTAATTAAATAATTATTTTAAATAATTTTATTTATAATATAATAAAGTTTATAAATAAATATTTATTTATAAAATAAAATTAAAATTTTTAAAATAATAATTTTATTTATTTATTTTAATTAATTTAAAAACTTAAATTATATAATAAATTTATATATAATATTTAATAATATAAAAATTAAATAATTTATAATTTATAATAATTTTATTTTTAATAAATTAATTTATATTAAAATTAATAATATTAATTTAAATTAATATAATTTAATATATTAATATATATAAATATTTTTAATAATAAATAATATTATAAATAATAATAAATTATAAAAATATTATAAAAGTTTAATATAATAAGTTTAATTAAATTAATTTTTAAAAATATATTATATTTTATTTTTTAAAACTTTAATTATTTATATTTAATTTAATAATAAAATTAAAAATAAAAATAATTTATAATTTATATATAAATATTATATTTTATTTAAATTTATTATAAAATTTAATTTTATAATAATAATTACTATATTATATTAAAAATATTATATAATTTAAAATATTTATTAAATATTTTTAAAATAAATATTTTAATAAAAATATAATATTATTTAAATTAAATAAAAATCTTTTATATTATTAAAATTATAAATTAAATATTTATAAAATTTATTAATAAATTTATATTTTTAAATATTTTATTTATTTAAATATTTTATATTTTTATAATAAAATTATAATTTAATTATTATTTTATATTATTTTTAAATAATTTTAATTTTAAATTAATAATTTTTATAAATAATTAAAATATTTTTATTATAAATTATATAAAATTATTTTATATTTTATATATTAATATTTTTAAAATAATAATTTTATATTAAATAATATAATAAATATTAAAAATAATTATAAATAAAATAAATAAAATATATTATAATAAAATATATTATATAAAATTTAATTTTTAAAATATAAAATTAATAAATTTATAATTATAAAATTTTAATTAAATTTTATTTAATTATTTTATTATATTATAATTAAATTTAATTTAAATTAATTTTTTTAATTTTTTAATTTTTTATTTTAAAAATTAAAGTTTTATAATTAAATTTAAAATTTTAAACCTTTATAAAATTATAATATATTTTAAATTAATTTTAAAATTTTTAATTTTTAAAATATATTAATTATTTTAAATATTAATAATTTTTAAAAATATAAAAATATATTTTTATATAATTATAAATTTAATTATTAATAATCATTTTTATTTATTAATAATAAAATTATTAAAATTATAAATTTAAATAATAAGATATAATTATTTTATTTATTTATTTTAATTTAATAAAAATATTATAAATTAAATAATTATTTTAATTAAATTTTATTTAATAAATATTTATTTAAATAAAATTAAAATTTTAATTTAAAAATAATAATTTTATTTTATTTATTTTAATTAATTAATAAAAGTTTAAATTATATAATAAATTTAATATTTATATATAATATTTATTAATATTAAATTAAATATTTTATAATTTATAATAATTTTATTTTTAAAAGTTAATAATATTAATTTAATTTTTAAATATAAAATTAAAATTTATAATTATAAAATTTTAATTAATTTATATTTAATTATTTTATTTTATTATAATTTAATTTAATTTTAATTTTTTTAATTTTTTTAATTTTTTAATTTTTTTTTTATTTTAAAATTATAATTTTTAATTTTTAAAATATATTAATTATTTTAAATAATAATAATTTTTAAAAATAAAATTTATTTTTATATAATTATAAATTTAATTATTAATAATTATCTTTTATAAAATTATTAAAATTATAAATTTAAATATTATATATAATAATAAAATATAATTATTTTATTTAAAATTATTTTTAATTTTATAATATAATAATTTAAATAATTATTTTAAATAATTTTATTTATAATATAATAAAGTTAATAAATAAATATTTATTTATAAAATAAAATTAAAATTTATAAAAAATAATAATTTTATTTTTATTTTTTAATTAATTTATATTTAAAAATTTAAATTATATAATAATTTTAATAAATTAATAATATTAATTTAAATAAATTAAATATAATTTAATATATTAATATAAAATAATATTTTTAATAATAAATAATATTATAAAATAATAAATTATAAAATTATTATAAAATATTAAGCTAATATCTATTTATTTAGTAATTATATCTACTTACTTAATTCTTACTAATTACTTACTTAATATTAATCTTTCTAAATAACTCCCTTATATTTATAAGTACCTTTTAAGTTAATATTAAGAAACTTTATAGTATAATTTCCTTCTCTAATTTTCAATACTTTTAATATAAACCCCTTTTAATACCCCTTTTAATATACCTTCTAGTACTTCTTTTAATACCCCTTTATCTTTACCTTTACCTTTACCTTTACCTTTACCTTTACCTTTACTATTTAATCTATATATATTTAAGTACTAACTAAGTATTTAAATATTAATTAAATACTAAAAGGCTAGAAGCTAAAAAGGTAAAAGTAAAGATTACACTCTTTCTAGCCTTTTAATACCCCTTTTAACCCTTTAATACTCTAGACTTTTAACCTTTTAGCATTTAATTAATATTTAAATACTTAGTTAGTACCTAAATATATATAACCTAGAAGAAGGTGTGCTAGAAGGTGTACTAAAAGGTATACTAGAAGGGGCTTATATTAAAAGTTTTAAAAATTTAAAAAATCCTAATTAAATATATAGTTTTATATAGGCCCTATATATAAATCCTTATACTAAATAAGTAGTTAATAAAAAACTAAATAAATAAATATAATTACTAGGTAAGTGGATATTAGCTCTAAAATATTTTATATAATAAATTTAATTAAAAAAAATTTTAAAAAATATATTATATTTTATTTTTAAAATATTAATTATTTATTTTAATTTAATAATAAAATTAATAAAATATATAAATAATTTATAATATTAATTAAAATTAATATAATTTAATATATTAATAAAAATTATTTTTATAATAAATAATATTATAAATAATTATAAAATTAATATAAATAATTTTATATAATAAATTTAATTAAATTAATTTTTAAAATTATATTATTTTTTTAAAATTTTTTTAATAAATTAATATTATTTATTTAATTTTTATTAATTATTTTATTAATATTAATTTTTTTAAATAATTTTTATATTTATAAATACTTTTAAATTAATATTAAAAACTTTATAATATAATTTTTTAATTTATATATATTTAAATATTAATTAAATATTTAAATATTAATTAAATATTAAAAATTAAAATTAAAAATAAAAATAAAATTATATTTTTTAATTTTTAATATTTTTTATTTTTTAATATTTTAAATTTTTATTTTTTATTATTTAATTAATATTTAAATATTTAATTAATAATAAAATATATATAAATTAAAAGTTTAAAAATAAAAATAAAAGTTTTAAAAATAAAAATAAAAATTTAAAAATAAAAATAAAATTATATTTTTTAATTTTTAATATTTTTTATTTTTTAATATTTTAAATTTTTATTTTTTATTATTTAATTAATATTTAAATATTTAATTAATAATAAAATATATATAAATTAAAAGTTTAAAAATAAAAATAAAAGTTTAAAAATAAAAATAAAAATTTTAAAAATAAAAATAAAAGTTTTAAAAATAAAAATAAAAGTTTAATAAAAATTTATATTAAAAATATTAAAAATTTAAAAGATTTTAATTAAATATATAATTTTATATAAATTTTATATATAAATTTCTATATTAAATAAATAATTAAAAAAATTAAATAAATAAATATAATTATTAAATAAATAAATATTAATTTAATTTTAATTATTTATTTTAATTTAATAATAAAATTAAAAATATAAATAATTTATAAATAATTATAAAATTATTATAAAAATTTATAAAATAAATATAATTAAATTAATTTTTAAAAAAATTATATTTTACTAAAAAAATTTTAATTACTTTTTTAATTTAATAATAAAATTAAAATATATAAATAATTTATAATTTATATTTTATTATTATTTTAAATTTTATATTTTTAATAGTTTTATAAAAATAATTATTAATAATTAAATTTATAATTATATAAAAATAAACTTTTATTTTAAAAATATATTAATATTTAAAATAATTAATATATTTTAAAATAATTAAAAATTATAAACTTAATTAAAAATATATTAAAATTTATAAAATTTTAAATTTTAAATTTAAAATAAATTTAAATTAAATAATAATAATATAAATTATTAAAATAAAATTTAATTATAAAATTATAATTATTTATTTTTAATTTTATATTTAAATAAAATTAAAATATATAATATTTAAATTTAAAATTTAAATTTTATATTTTATATTTAATTATAAATTAATAAAATATATTTATATTTAAAAATATTATATATATATATAAATATATATAAAATATAAATATTAAATAATATTTAAAATTATTTAATAATAATATATTATAAATTATTTAAAATAAATTTTATTTTATTTTTTAATTAATTTATATTTAAAAATTTAAATTATATAATAATTTTAATAAATTAATAATATTAATTTAAATAAATTAAATATAATTTAATATATTAATATAAAATAATATTTTTAATAATAAATAATATTATAAAATAATAAATTATAAAATTATTATAAAATATTAAATAATATCTATTTATTTAGTAATTATATCTACTTACTTAATTCTTACTAATTACTTACTTAATATTAATCTTTCTAAATAACTCCTTATATTTATAAGTACCTTTTAAGTTAATATTAAGAAACTTTATAGTATAATTTCCTTCTCTAATTTTCAATACTTTTAATATAAACCCCTTTTAATACCCCTTTTAATATACCTTCTAGTACTTCTTTTAATACCCCTTTATCTTTACCTTTACCTTTACCTTTACCTTTACCTTTACCTTTACTATTTAATCTATATATATTTAAGTACTAACTAAGTATTTAAATATTAATTAAATACTAAAAGGCTAGAAGCTAAAAGGTAAAAGTAAAGATTACACTCTTTCTAGCCTTTTAATACCTTTTAACCCTTTAATACTCTAGACTTTTAACCTTTTAGCATTTAATTAATATTTAAATACTTAGTTAGTACCTAAATATATATAACCTAGAAGAAGGTGTGCTAGAAGGTGTACTAAAAGGTATACTAGAAGGGCTTATATTAAAAGTTTTAAAATTTAAAAATCTAATTAAATATATAGTTTTATATAGGCCCTATATATAAATCCTTATACTAAATAAGTAGTTAATAAAAACTAAATAAATAAATATAATTACTAGGTAAGTGGATATTAGCTCTAAAATATTTTATATAATAAATTTAATTAAAAAATTTTAAAAATATATTATATTTTATTTTTAAAATATTAATTATTTATTTTAATTTAATAATAAAATTAATAAAATATATAAATAATTTATAATATTAATTAAAATTAATATAATTTAATATATTAATAAAAATTATTTTTATAATAAATAATATTATAAATAATTATAAAATTAATATAAATAATTTTATATAATAAATTTAATTAAATTAATTTTTAAAATTATATTATTTTTTAAAATTTTTTTAATAAATTAATATTATTTATTTAATTTTTATTAATTATTTTATTAATATTAATTTTTTTAAATAATTTTTATATTTATAAATACTTTTAAATTAATATTAAAAACTTTATAATATAATTTTTTAATTTATATATATTTAAATATTAATTAAATATTTAAATATTAATTAAATATTAAAAATTAAAATTAAAAATAAAATAAAATTATATTTTTTAATTTTTAATATTTTTTATTTTTTAATATTTTAAATTTTTATTTTTTATTATTTAATTAATATTTAAATATTTAATTAATAATAAAATATATATAAATTAAAAGTTTAAAAATAAAAATAAAAGTTTAAAATAAAAATAAAAATTTTAAAAATAAAAATAAAAGTTTAAAAATAAAAATAAAAGTTTAATAAAAATTTATATTAAAAATATTAAAAATTTAAAAGATTTTAATTAAATATATAATTTTATATAAATTTTATATATAAATTTCTATATTAAATAAATAATTAAAAAAATTAAATAAATAAATATAATTATTAAATAAATAAATATTAATTTAATTTTAATTATTTATTTTAATTTAATAATAAAATTAAAAATATAAATAATTTATAAATAATTATAAAATTATTATAAAAATTTATAAAATAAATATAATTAAATTAATTTTTAAAAAAATTATATTTTACTAAAAAAATTTTAATTACTTTTTTAATTTAATAATAAAATTAAAATATATAAATAATTTATAATTTATATTTTATTATTATTTTAAATTTTATATTTTTAATAGTTTTATAAAAATAATTATTAATAATTAAATTTATAATTATATAAAAATAAACTTTTATTTTAAAAATATATTAATATTTAAAATAATTAATATATTTTAAAATAATTAAAAATTATAAACTTAATTAAAAATATATTAAAATTTATAAAATTTTAAATTTTAAATTTAAAATAAATTTAAATTAAATAATAATAATATAAATTATTAAAATAAAATTTAATTATAAAATTATAATTATTTATTTTAATTTTATATTTAAATAAAATTAAAATATATAATATTTAAATTTAAAATTTAAATTTTATATTTTATATTTAATTATAAATTAATAAAATATATTTATATTAAAAATATTATATATATATATAAATATATATAAAATATAAATATTAAATAATATTTAAAATTATTTAATAATAATATATTATAAATTATTTAAAATAAATTTTATTTTATTTTTAAATAATTTTAATTAAAACTTTAATTATATATATAAACTTTTATTAGATTATTATTTTTAAATAATTTATAATAATTTTAATTATATAATTAAATATTTATTATATAATTTAAATAATATTAATAATCTATATATACTTTAATTTTAACTTTATATTTACTTTACTTATTAACTATTTATTATATTAGATCTATTATAAATAAAGAAGAAAGAGCTTAAAGTATTCTATAAGTCTATTTAAATTATAGTTACCCTTAAAAAGTCTCTATATTTACTATTTTATATTAAAACTTATTACTTTAAATAATTTTTAATAATTTTATAATTAAAAGTATTTTTAAAAATATTTTAAATATATAAAGTTTTATAATATATAAATTATATTTAAACTATTTTTAATAATAATAAATTTCTATTATAATATAAAAGTAAAATAGAAATAATTTTTAAATTTAAAAATATAATTTATTAAGGGGTCTTATAGAAGGTTATAGGGCCTAAGCTTAAATTTTTTAAATTTAATTTTTATAAAAAAGCTTATAATTATATAAAGTTTTAATTTTAAATTTTAAAAATTTAATATTATATATATCTTATAATTCTCTATTATATATAAAAAGCTTATATTTATAATAAATTTTAGTAAGTTATTATAATAGGTTAAAAGTGGTGAGTTTTAGTGTAAAATGGTAAATGTAGGGAGACTTTTTAAGGGTAACTATATCCCTAATGCCAATCTACCAGTAACCAACCCAAACAATGTCCCATGCCATACCTATACACCATATCCCTAGTCTACCCACCAATCTCCTCAGGCCCAACATACCCGAGAGACGCCCACTATTCAAGATACCTCATTTGATCCATAATTCGTCAGTCATTGGTGCAGCACATAATGCCCAGTAAGTTGTCCTTGGCCTATTCTTGAAGCCTTTGCCCCGCTCCAACCAAACCTAGAAGATGAAAGGCAAAACCCCTCGCAGCATAATTCATCGACAGGTCTTGTAACTTCGCATACTTCTCCCTACAGCCTTCGCACGCCAGCTTCCAAGCCGAAGTTGGCGGTCTCAGACAGCTGCCGCGATGCCTCGGCGAGCGCCATGTCCTCCTCACTAGCGCCCTTGATGGTGCGGCCAGGCAGGCCAAACGGCAGCGCCTCCGGCTCGCAAGTAGCGCCGTCGCGAGGAAGCGCGCCGGCCTGGAAGTAATCCCTTATAGCCTTGGCCGTGCACACTGACGGGGCAGCTAAGCTCGTATGCTACAGAATACGAAGTCAGCAGGACAGTTCCCACTTATCTATCCCACCCCAACCGAGATCACACGAAAAACACTTACACCGTACGACTTCTGCACGAGCACGACCGAGTCCTCGAAACCGACCGAGTTGTTCCGCGCGCTGGCCAGCGGCGTGATATTGTCAGCCACGTTGGCGACGTACAGGATAGGGAATCCCGCCCGCGCCTCGAAGGGGCCCTTGAAGCTCCACCTCGGCCTGACCTGCCTCCCCGCGCACGCGATGCGGTCCTTGGCCACGATGGCGCCCGACGTCCGGCTCACGCGCTCCATGTCCGCGACGTACCCCTCAAAGCCGACGGGGCTGTCGGGCAGGGGCTTCCCGTCCGCGCAGAGGATGATGGGGAAGGCGTCGTCGCTGCCCTCGCCGGCGCTGGGCAGGGGCTCCTCAGGCGGGATCTGCTGCGCCGAGCACACGTCGGAGAAGGGCGGGCCGTAGCGGGTGACGAAGTCGTAGTAGGCCTTGCCGTCGCCCTGCTCGAGACCCGCGAGGATCCTGGCCAGGTGGGTGAAGTAGTAGTTGGGGCGGTAGAGGGAGGTCGCCGCCAGCTGGCGGATCTTGGAGTAGGTGATTATCTCCGGCAGCTCGGACCCCGAGCTGGCCTCTGGCATGAAGATGATGGGCTGGACACGGAGACGGTCCAAGATGGCCTGGTGGCGTTCCTCGATCTCGTCCGGCGACGGCCCGTGGAATGCACACTTGAGAGGGCCAGCCTTGTGGCACAGCTGGTAGAAAGCGGCCATGACACTGTCGGCGTCACGGACAGAGTTGATGTGCCGGCTGTTGTACCACTCCTCGTAGTCGACGTTGCCGTCGCTGACGAGCCGGCCGACCCTGTCCGGGTACATGGCGGCGAACGTCCCGCCGAGGACGGTGCCGTAGCTGAAGCCCCAGTACTGCAGCTTCTCCTCGCCCATCTGCTCGAGGATCTCGAGCATGTCGCGCGCGTGCGAGGCCGTGCCGACGTGCCGCAGGAGGCCGGTTGCGTTGTGAGACCGCTCACACGCCTGCGAGAACGCCGCGGCGCGGGCCCACACGTCGTACATGACGCCCTCGTGCGAGTCGATGACCGGTATCTCCTGCATCGCCCAGTTCTGCCGCTTCTGCGCCGAGCCCCAGCATTCGATCCTGGGCACCGAGGCGCCGATGCCACGCGGGTCGAACGTCACGATGTCGAAGTTGCGGCCGACGATGGCTTGCAGATACGACCCGTGATCTTTCAGCGCCCAGATGCCTGAGCCCCCTGGGCCTCCCGGGTTGAAGAAGACGGGACCCTTGTAGTCTTGTGTCTCTGTTGCTCGCAGGCGAGCGATGGCCAAGATGACATTCTGGCCGGCCTCAGGCTCGAGCCAGTCCATCGGTACCTCCAGCCTTGCGCAGTCATAGTCGCCGTCGAAGCAGCTATGCCATTCGAGGGTCTTGCTGGGTGTTATATCTCCCCATGAGAAATCCCGCAACTGTATGTCTATATCGATACTGTAAACGTCTTGTCTAGGATTTGGTGACTTGTGCACTACAACTCCAAACGTGACCAAGCACGCAATCGCCAGCAGGGCGAGGGGGATCTCGAAGCGGAGCTTTCCCGACTCCCTCCGCACTAGTGGTCGAAGTAAGGGGGCTTTCTCGTCCATGGCGAGGTCAATGAAGGATATGTCGTAAAGCAGACCGGGAGAAGTGGACAGTTCTGGTATAAAATCAGGAGAGAAGATAAGGAGAGTCTACCCGCTAAATCTATAATAATCTATACCAACGGTAAAATAAAACGGATCATGTTACAAAGGTAAGACCGCACAAGAAGGAGGGATGGTGTAAACAGCCACCTGACCGTCCTTTAGATAGCTGCCAGATATACAACAAGTTACCCACACAGATGGAATAGATAAGACTCTTCACAGGGCGGTGGGGATTGTTGGGGACCGGATAGCGCCCACCCACTCACATCGAGGCAAAAGTCAGCCGTCGTGCCAAGAGGACAAGGGCCCCTCTGTAAGCGTGCAGTGGTCCTCTGGGGAAGACCCCGGATCTGCAACCCACTCTTGCCTGCCGTCGCTGAGTCGAGGACCCCTTCTTTGCGGGCCAAAGCTGGCTCCCGCAGCCCACGGCCAGTCAAGGGCCGTATCTTGAGACAGCGCCAACCGCCACTCTTACGCCAGTTTCCTATCGGCTCCGGGAGCGATGCGGAGGCGGCCCTTGGTGTCCACGAGTCGTGGGGGCCAGCACACTGTCTCATGTTAGAGTTCGGACACAGTCCGCCAGCTGACTCGTTCCCGCGGGTGAACCTTTTGGCAACCTGACCAAGGTAACAACGGCCTCGTCGCATGACGTGCACCGAAGGAGCGGTCTTGGGGCTTCTGGGTGGGAAGCTGACTGGGAGAGCTGAGCCTCGTCCACAAGGGCCGCCCCCGACGTCGCACTCGGGCTTCTGTGGTCAAGTGTGGCCGCACGACAGATCAGCATGTGGCCGCTGGCCGCTTGGGTCCTGTACCGCAGCGCCCCCCCAACCAGCCAACACCCTTTCCCTTACCTCGGTCGTCCACTTATCAGCAGCACAGCATGCACAGATTCCTCCTCGTGGACGGGGACCGGCAGATGCCGAGCTGGCCAAGTATTACCTGCGCACTATGTTAACGTTGTGGGAATGCCAGCTTTGTGAACGGTTTGGTGAGCCCCCGACTGGACCTCTTCATATCGAAGTCTAGGCGTTGGGAGTCAATAAGCAACGATTTCTTGTTTAGTACAAGGCGGGGCTACTTTCAGTGTGTCCTCGGCGCCGGCAGTGGCCATTTGATTAAATAGTCCGCTGCCACGGCAGCTTTCCCATGATCGGACGAAAAGTGACAGGCGGCAGTCGGGATGACTGCCGAGCATCGTCGCCAGTTGCGATCCACATATATAATCGAACACTTTTGCTTGCTCGATCGCTCGTGTTCGTGTCGTAGGTGGGGCTTGTAATCCTATCAGTATCGCCATATGAGAAGTTTCGAAAAGCTCCTTGTCTCTGCTACACTCCTGAAGTCATCCAGCTATTCCAATCGTTCTGCTGCAGGGCGCGACAGCGTGCAGTCTACATGATAAAGACGGTGAGTCCCAAGATTAGGTAAAATACCTTGCCATGGAACACACGCGAATCATAATATAGACTGTTGATTCTCATGATGTTCAGGTTGAGCACAAGCGCTTTCACAATGGTTGCTCGCACAACTCATATACACTGCGGACCTCTTCCGCTGCACACTATTCTAGCCAAAGGTTTTGGCAAGATTATGGCAGGAATCAATTGCTATATCTCGTTGTGGTCAGAAATGTTGTCTGTGATCAGGGACTGCACAGACTTTGACCAAATCACACGGAAATCGGTGCGCTGAGCACGATTTCACTCTGAGGACCCCTTTCCGAAAGGTGGCCCTTCTTTGAATGCAAATGCTTAATAGGAGGCATGAGCTCGGTATAATTTGGGAGTTGGATGCCTATTACTGTCTGTAAGGATGCGCTTGCTCCATTATGTACGCGTTGCTCTTGGAACAAGCCATTTTACTTGTATTTATAACTTTCCTAGGCGACGGAAGTAACAGTTTCGGGAGAAGCACCAACCTCATTGATCAAAATGAATATTCATTTCGCCCCAACTCCCACCGATATTTTTCATTTTGACAGTCATCTCTTTTCTGTGGTCCGAATTCCCACCAGCTACAGACATGGGAAACTCTGAGTCTCATACCAGACCGGCGACGGGTTCTGCCAGACCCATCCATCTGAATAGTGTGTGCCGTTGTACCAGAACTCGTCACCAGTCCCTGTGATACCATGGACGAGAAGGACCACCGCCTCGGGCAACGTCGAGTTGATTGCTGACGCAGATTCCAGTTTTATTCGATCCGAGCTACCGAGCGATCGGCCTGTGTTTGAGAAATTAGCTGTAGTCTCCTTGTACAATAAATGTAAATACGGAGTCCAGAGCCATGCTGGGGCTACTCCAGGGCTGACGAACATATGTGATCAAATACCTGGGCACGTATCTGTCCGGTGTCGAGATTCTGGTAGACTCCAAGTGTACATATCCCCTCATCCCGATTCTGACACCACGACAAGCCCTGATCGCCTCCAGGTGGCTCGGAAGGAGGAGGTGATGGTGTAGAGCCTGCGCCAGTCTTGTTTGTATTTTCGGATGGCGCGTCGTTGTGCGAGGCCTGTTTGCGGGTGATGCCAATCACGAGGACTGCGGCAAGCAGTAGGGCTAATGCAAGAGCTACAATGATGAGAGTCGTCATGCTGATTTTCCTGCGGCGGATGGGTTGGCGAGTAGTAGTTCGACTGTGAGTATTCCCCTCAGGCAGTTGGAAATTCACCGACAGCTTTGCTGAGAGGTAATGCACCGACTTCAGGTTCTCGTTTGAAGCCATGGTGGTCGCCATATCCGTTGAAGACAATAGATCTTGCGGGTTCTCCCGGAGATGTTATTTTGCAATGGTAAAGACAGCAAATTCCAGAAGTAGAAAGACTGGTGAACAGGAGTGTTGGCAAAGATGAAGAAGAGCGATAGGTCAACCCATGCTACACAGCTCAAGTTCTTTCTTCAACTGAGCGTAGAAGGTGGTTGAAAATCAAGTATCAATGGTCCAAATCTTACCGTTCCTCTTGACTGTCAAATCTCCTCCATCGCAAGCCAGGCCGTTGGGACATTCTGCCTGCCAAGCGCGAGACTCGGATGAGCGCTTACGCTGTCTCAGAGCTTATCGAAGAAGTCGTCGCCTTGGGGAATCCAAGCGTAATGATTCGTTTTTTTCTATCTTACAAACTGCCTCTGCACGCGACGGCATGCTTTATTATGTTGCATCCGTACTAATGCAGGCCATTGGCCGTCGCCTCCCATGCAAGATCGCGAGCTATTGGCTCCAGCCAATTTCCGATCGTGCCCAGGTGATTACAGTTCAGGAAAGTTCGGGGGGTCAGCCCCAGCCACGGAGCTTTTTAAATCCGGGTTATTGATACTCTCAGCGCAGCCGGAAGCGCGTTTAACGCTCAGGATATGCTGATGCACCTAGTTTGGACGATGGACATGACGCGGGCAGAAGTTCACTGACACTTGGGGTCTTACCCGTGGACACATTGCTCAGCTGTCAAAAGCCAGTGCCTCACATTTTTACGACGTTCCTGATCTTGAACACGAAGTACAACTTTATAGCGCCAGCTTCTGAGTAACACCTGCGGCTAAGGTGAACTGAACGCATCATTGCATGAAGATATGCTCTATGAGCACGCTTGTCTTAAGGCTAGGCTACTCCTTCCTTGGCATTGTCCAATACGATATTTCACTCTGGATCTTGTCCCACTTGAGATGTTCCCAGTGATGGAAAACCAGCCTGAAAATCAAATCATCGAACATACCGGCAGGCACAACTTTTCTACCTCCTCCACGCTCGCAACAAAGCATTCCAAAGAAATATCAGTCTTCATGAAAGATTGGATCTCATCCATCATAACACCTTATCCATCGGAAATGACAGCCTCAAAAAAAGTGGACCATAATAAGGTTTCGGATGCGCTTATTTCGTTCGGCGAAAATGACGTTGACTCGGCACTGTTGTCGTGCGCACATGCACCATGTGCATCCGTATGAGCCTTCTCAAGGTCTAGTCAAGTAGGTATCACATGAAAGTTGGGAAACACACAATCAAATAGCCCTTTGTACCTGCAGCTCGGAGAGAAAAAGACAAGAATCGATCGGTTGGCGCAGGAATTATGGCGGCATGTTCTAATCAACCTTATTTCCGACACTTGCGCCATTCACGCGGCAGGTCGGGATGCTACGGTCGGAGCCAGCACAGCTTTACCATGTGCATGACAGTGGAAATCTAGGCCCGCCCGTGAGAACTTTATACCTCCCCGAGAAATGGCCGCCCAAGCGGGCCTGCATACCTCTGCAACTGCCCCGGGCGCAAAATTCAGCCAGACGCTCGTCTAACGTACTGTTTTTTTTTTGTGTTATTCTCTTTAGGATTTTGCCTCATCCTTCGAGACGCGATACAACTGCGTAGCGTTTCGGTACATACGCGTCTATTGTGCTTGGCATACACAACGTTGATCCCAGCTGTTCCGAGTCGTTCGTGGAGGCCTGTTCTCGCACCGCGCATGTGTCCAGCGATGAGGCCAGACCATTGGATCGACGGGCATGCTTACGAGGACGACCGGGCCTGGCGAGGTAAATCTGTTTCGACGCACGCGTCTGACTGGATATTAATGGCTCTTCAGGGTTTATACACAGAGGGTCGTCAATACGGACGTGTTCCAAGGTTAGGAACAGGCGCCCTTTATCCCCGCCGGCTGGAATCAATAGATGCCCTCAGCACTTATACTGCTGCTCGCTTATTAATGAGCGAGTAATCGGAAATGTGAAAACTAAGTATTCCAAAGCCGACACTATCATAGAGAGCTACCAATCGGAGAAACTCATGTTCGGAGCACACTCAAGGCTTACACAATGCCGACTACCAACGGCAGTAACGGCGCTATCTCCCTGCTTGCACACGACGTCAAAGGTTTGGAACCTACCGCGAAGCTGCCCTGCTGCCTCGCAACTCTTCTCATCCATCACTCGGGCTTCCTGCCAATGACGGTGTGCCGGGTGAAGGCCCAGAAAGCCCCCTCGCGGGTCTCAGCCGCGACCTCCTGCAGTAGCTCACGGAGTAATGCCATCTTCTCCGAGCCCTCCTGGGCCTTCCCAGACTTGCGCATGACTTGTTCCGGCAGTAGCAGGTTACACTCCTGGGTGGCCAGCTCCAAATGCAACGGAATATCCCGAACGTCGGACTCGATAGCATCAAAGCCGGCCTCGCCGAGGTGCCCAGCCAGGTGAGAGACCCACGGCGACTCTAACCGCTTGTCTTGTGCCTGGGTCTGCCTGAACAGCTTTTCCAAAGCAGCTGTCTTGCAGTCAGGCTTGGTCTTTGCGATACGCCATGAGGCCATGTCTGGCTCGCCCCACTGCACGTAGCCGCCCGGCTTGAGGAGCTTAGAGATGTTGGCCGTCACCCCGGGAAGGTCGTCTTGGCCTAGCACAAAGAGGAAGTTGCGCAGGTGAACGACATCGTAGACCCCGACGATCTCACTTGGTGGCGGCTGTTTGATATCCCAGTGCTGAAAGCGTACGTTGGCCGGGAGGCATGTTGATGGCGGGGCGGCGTGAAAGGACACGTCCAGGCCGTCGAGCTGGACGGAGGGAGGTAGCTTGGCCCCCAAACTCGTCAACCAGATCCTCCAGTACATGTTAGCTTTTCGTTTCGTCTGATTCAAGGTTTGAGGTTCCTCACCCGGTGCCAGTTCCGACGTCAGCAATCCTAAGACTATTTCTATCGAGAGGTATCTTTGGGTGGACGAGATAGCCAAAAGACTCGACCCAGAGGTAGTGCTGCAGGTTGATGCTGTTTACAGTATGTGGTTAATGATCGGAACTGCCACTGTTGAGAGCTGAACACAAACCGAGTGTTGTCTAAATAATCCCGCGTGAAGATGTACGTATCAGAGTTCTGCGCCATGTTGGTCTTGATTAGGAGTCGTCAAAATTTATTTTGGGGTTGTAGGTTGGAATGGAGAAAGACAAGACGCTGCCTGCATGTTCAGCCAGAGTGCACTTATGTAGGCTTCAGCATTCACTTCTCTCACGGTGACCGTGGGGTAAGAGCTGTGCCAGCACCGCGTTACAAGCACACAGGTGAAAGAGAGAAGGCTAAGATGGCCGAAAGAGCCGCTTGTGACGTAGTTTTAGGTCTGACGAGCAATCTAGGTCAACCTTCAAGCTGCGTACTTCTGCTTCGGCACGAATCAAAGTGACCCGCATTCTTTGGGTTGAGCGAAAGCGAGCGTAGGCAACACTGTGTCACCCCCCGGCTTCTTCCCTTTCTGTACTCATCCACGGTAACACAGTGACAAAATGCATCCATGGATCAAGGCACCGATTGGGGTCTATGCAGCATTTGGCCAGTCAGGGGTAATAGTGAGACGCGGATGCTGCAAACGGCTGCGCTGCTGTCCATCGTTGTCGAGCAGATGTATTGTTTAAGGTCTTCTGCGATTACTGCTTGGATAGCCCATGGCCCTATTCCCCTCTCTCTGCACTCGAACTCGCCGTCCAAGGGAAGCTGACTTGACTCATAAATTCTCTCATTTGGGCAGACTGTAGCGATCCAACCACAGAGCCATGAGCTCCGAAAGATTCTCTGGACGGGCGGGGGATGGGGGCCAAAGAGGGTGTTAAGTACAATGCAGGGTTGCAATATTGTAAAACCAACAGCAGAGATCACATCAATGAGGTAGGTCTTTTTCAGGGTTGTGATCAGTGGCCCGCTACCCCCAACGCCCCCCGCTTAGAGTGCGTGGCCCTGCATTCTGATGACTGTCTGACCGTGATCGACATGCTTGGATGCATGTTGGCTTCTCAGCCGCATCAAATTGTGTGTAGGGGTGAATAGGCCAACTCTTGTGCAGATCACACGGTGCATTGGCGTTAGATTTAAGTTACCTGATGGAGGCATGTTGTTGATGTACCTAGGTATTTCGGATAGTTGGATGAAACTGCATGCAGGAGAGCTTGCCTACTTCCGAGGTCCGCCATGACCACCACGTCTGGCCTTCCCATGGAAATACCCATGGCTTCGAGAAATTGGGGAATTCCCGACTTCCTCTCGCCAGTGATGAATCTCGTCAGGCGATAGATCATCAGGTAATGTGCGCATGTCAGTGTGAAGACATAGACTTGGGAAACACTCTCCACGCGGTTCTACAGGTCCGCCTTCGTCGCCTCTGCTTGCGTCTCTTCTGTGAACCTGAAAACCTCTGGTTGAGTTGTCGAGTTCGTTATAGCCTTGTCAATGGCGACCTGCAGCGGCAGGTGGACGTCTTCCTGGGTGCCTTGCTGGTCAAGCTCAATGGGAGAGGCATGTTGAAAATTGATGTCGTCTCTCGAATACCAGTGTCTCCATTGAGGCTGGTCGCATCGGAATTCTTGTCGTTGAGTGTCGGATCCGCCCTGATGGTATATCTCCAAGCTTTTCGACTGTTCCAACTTCTTTCTTTATTAGGCGTCAAGGGCGAGTCGACAAAGATTACTGCGCCATAAGATCCGCTCTTCCCCTCAGATCGGTCGCACATAGTCCTTCTAGGTCTAATTTTGTATTCGTGAAGGCCTATTTATTGTTCGGGATCAACTCGGAGAAGGCATCGATGACTCGGCTGACGCCTGGGCCAAGGTTGTCAGGCAGAACGATTATGAACCACTTTTTGATTGTCTCGGCAAGCGATTTGACTGAAGAGGGAGATTAGACTCCATTTCAGACGGACGATGACAGTATTGACAGCAAGGCGACGTGGAATCACAGGATGGCGATGGCGAAGACATATGTGCTGAACAAAAGGCCGGCCGGCCGGCGTATAACAGTGACCAGAGCGTTCTTATAGGCAAGGGCACGGATCTGTCGCATGTCGACCGACATGGAAGGCTAACCGATCAAGCTCAAGTGAACGATGACGATGGACTGGACCGGATCGTGACTGAGGATTCAGGAGTGTCGTCTGAAGTATATGTTGAATGTTGTATACCTGCAGAGCAAAGCGGCTGTGCTATGTAGACCGGTCCATATTATCCATGCTTAGACACCATGGTTCCATATGTGACCAAGCCTCATGGGTCCGTCTTGAGCTTCAACTAATTCGGTCTGCAAGACACACACACACGATCTGACACTGGCCTCGACACAGTTTACTCGTTTTGAATATTGAGGGCGTTGTATTTTACCAGATACTAGTAGGCCAATCTCTCTTCGGTCGATATCATAGGAGCCAGGGACATCATTGATTTCTATTTCACCAGACGGTCTAAGTTCCTAATTAGTCTGGCAAGGCTGTCTGTCTAGACCACGTAAAACCTCCTCGTGTCGATGTGCCTTTATCTCGTAGGTCTTTCCTTGTTTTATCATCTTCGTGGATCGGAAGCCTTGCAGCAGACCAGCGCGTTTCGTTCTCCAATGTAGGTTTCAAAGAGTCATCCTGAGGCTGCAAAGATGCCTAGGTAGTGTTACTATCTGAGTTGCTAGCCTGATAGGTATTGCACGTGGTATTGTTACCTATCGGGTACGTCTGTCCCTGGTTCGAATTTTCTCATTCTGCCTCATTCGTTCCAGCTGCTCCCCAAGGCGGATAACTTGCCGCTCGGCTACCTTCTGTTGGCTCATGATGCGATCAATTTCCGGGTAGGAAGTGGCGGACACCCTTGGGACTTCTCTGGGTGGTGTTACTTCCACCACTCGTCTGCGCTGTGTGTTAACATCACCATACAGATAACTCTCCCAGTCGCGATGTCGTTCGGCATTTCTTCTATCATCACTCTGATCAAAATTTCTTCCCAAGGTTGCTTCAGTGGTGTATCTCGAGCCGTGATCGAAATAATAGTCTCGCCAGACTGCGCGAGACATCTGTGTAGGTGCATGATATTCGTAATTCCAGGTAGTGCCTAGATGGACAGGTAGAGGAGGCGGAGGTTGATGCATCCTATTGCTGTAGTAGACATCGCTGTATCCAGTTGTGAGTGGCGATGAGTGGCGCCTTGAGCTTTGGAATACCGGCAGTGGACTGTGTGGCCTTCGCACGTGTCGCGTACCGACAGTGGCAGCAGAATGGTGGCCAAACTGACCAGACCTTGCAAAGGAGTCAACCCAGGTTCGGGAAATTGAGGGAGGATCATCCTCAAAATGAACTCTGGCCCGTCTTTGAAGAGGTAGTGAACCTGGTCGCGGGAAATAGTGGTCATAATTTCTGTATGGGTCGCTCCAATTCGCAGGCATATTTGAGATGTGTAGTTGAAATAGGGGGTTTTGGTATGATTGACTGTCGTATTTTCAGTGGTTCAAGATATTCAAGGAAATGGGTGAGACGTCAGGACACAATTGATCATCTCATTTATGATTATCAGTACTTCGGTGGATTGGTGGGCATCCCTCCGCAAAAGAGATTTTGTAGGAAAGAGACAAATATCGGCCCCGGAGGTGGGCTGAAGCTGATGGGCATGTGTAGAGTCTACTCCACGGGAGCCTTTGCTGAGACGCGCACCTGGACCATTTTAGAATCAAGGCCAAGCCTGGGATGCTCAGCTTTGTTCTATTTCCTATTGGATGCAACCTTTAGAACGGCACAATTCTGAGGAGGAGTGCCAAATTTTGTAAGACGAGAGCGACACGACAGGCTCAGCTCATCCCCACGGCTGAATACTGCCCAATCATCTCACGTTCGTCTGTTTGAGAGGGATACACTCACTGTCTGCCTGGGATTTGACTGGCGTCAGATCTTATGTCTGCGCCCCCATGGTAAAAAAAGTCAGGCTGCGAAAAATCCGGGAGCCTTATTCAGGTGTCACAGAAATTATGTGGCGTCTGCAACTAGGAGACCGGTGAGCACCTTGCTCCCCCTTGATCAAACAGATGGGGGCAACAGGTCTTCCTCAGATGCTAGGTAGCTGAAAAAAAGTAGTAATTTGATGACGGTCTTTCCTTGGGCGGTGTATTTCAGTAGTGTGATCTATTTACCTTTGTCTGTCGATGGCAACAACTTCGATGTTGAGGCGGGCCGAAGTTAAAGCGGTCACGAAAGAATTCCGGAGACCCCAAAATCAGATGAGCATCGCTGTCGATAAATCTGCCCAGTGCATACGGTAGGCCGCAGTTGGCGAAGCTGATATATGGGCCCTTCTCGACGACAGTTATGTGAGCTGACTCGTTCAGACGACGTGCGCGTGCGGCCGCTGACATTCCGCCTGCGACGCCCCCGATTATGATGAGATTCATGTAAGCCAATGAGCACCCCTGAATTAATGCCCTTTTCGGGCGAGGCAACAACCGCTAGTCCTGCATCCAAGTCTAAGGTGCGAACGAGTACCAGGTCCGAACCAGCCTCGTGAAGATCTTCCGAACAGTCAAATGGCAGCAGTTTTGGCTTCCCATCCACTGAACCGCCCCCAAGTATGACCGTTGAATCAGCTCCTCCGTCAGCCTCGTCAACGACTCTCCAAGAGTCTACCCGCGCGGTTTCTCACCAACTGAAGCACCCACGAGTATTAGCTCTGGATTCATGTCCGAAGAGACAACGAGTACATCCACTGAGTCGACTTCCGTGGAAGAGCCTATGAGTAGCAGCTCTGCCTCAAATTCATCCGAGGAACCCACAAGTACTAGTTCCGAGTCCAATCTTGAAGAGGTCACGACTACGAGCCTGGAACCCACTGCCCCTGAGGGGCCAACAAGCACTCCCTCCGGATCAGAGTCACTCAAAGAGCCGACGAGCACGAGCTCTGAATCGTCGTCGACTGGAAAAATCATAGGTAGCAGCTCTGAATCATGGTCCTCGACATCCTCGGAAGACTTCACAAGTACAATCGCCGGGCCATTGCCGGCTAAGGAGGCCACAGGTACGAGCCTAGAATCTAGTTCTACTTAAGAGCCAATAACTACGTCTGTTACATCAATCACCGAGTTGGTATTCTTGTAAGAGC